CAGAAATCTATAAGGCGTTCAGTAGACTCACATCTTCCTTCTCCAACTTTGACGTTAAAATCACCCATAACTACTATTATATCTAGATGTTGTATTTTGTAGGGTTTTTTTGAGGTCATCGTAAAATGTTCCAATTTATTCCTCTGTTTTATCGTCAGTTGACGCATATGGCGCACATGAATCAGGTTTAATTTCCCATGTGTTGTCATCATTTGTATTAGCATAATTCTTTTCGATATTGGTACAAAGCCTACAACTGATTTTACAACTTTTTTACTGACATTAATTGCTACTCCATACCGATGTTGGCTGTCAGTACTACTAGAGTAGAAAAGTCGACTATTGTACTTAGTTCGCCGGAGTTGAGCCATCTCGTGTCACTTATTCCCAATATGTCGATCTTAAGTCGCATCATTTCTTGTTCTATGTTCCTTAGTTTACCAGGGTTTACGCAGGGATTTCGCTGTTTAACAACCTGAGGAGCCCTATCATAATTGTTATTTTTCCCTCTGCCGAATCTTGGTATCCGAGAACCATGATTAGTACGAAGATGCTTGTTACTAACTGCCATGACTATTTCTAGGGTACTATACGAGTCTTTAATGCAGTGGTTCCCCGTTGCCTTCTGCATCCTTATGCCGTCGTTGACCATTCCTTGGTTCATCCGCCTTCGAGATAGATTTCTTTATCTCAGGACAAAAGAGTGCCCTTACATCTACCAGCTTCTCCGCCCGAAACCGTTGGTCAGTATTTGACTTGATTCTATATCAAAGGAGAGGACAGAATACCGAACGAAATCCCAAAGTACGGAGGACCTGACCAAACAACTATTAAAACTAATTCAAAAAATTATAGAACAAAACAGAAAACCTCAAGAATGGAGATCAAGCATCCTAATACCTCTCTTCAAAAAGGGAGACAAATCGGACCCGGAAAATTACAGAGGAATTAATTTATTAAAACACTAAAATTAACAACCAAAGTGATAACAAATAAATTGAATAAAATTGTAACACTATAAAAAGTTTTAAGTCGGGAAGATCATGCACCGACGCAATATTTATAATGAGGCAAGTGCAAGAGAAATCATTAGAATACAACAAACCGGCATATCTATGTTTCGTGGACCTTACAAAAGCATTTGACCGGGTCAAATTAAAAGATGTTATCCAGTTACTGTATGCAAGAGAGATACCTCTAGGAATAATCAAAACAATCGAAAATATGTACCAAAACAACATAATAAAAATAAAAGTAAAAGAAGAACTAACCGACTCTATTGAAGCTGGTAATGGAATAAAACAGGGAGATTTCCTGAGTCCTCTATTGTTCAACCTGATTATGGATGAAATAATAAAAAAGTAAGAACAAAAAAAGGATACCAAATGGGAGAAAAATAACTTAAAATAATCTGCTATGCAGACGACGCAATACTTCTCTCTCAAAAGTGAAGATAATTCATTTCCCCAAAAAAGACAAAATGCATGATTACAGTAGCATTTACTAAGATGTAAATTAGAGCTGGAAGGTCCAATTTACATCTTAGTAAATTTGCTCAGAAAATAGAAGCTGGAAGGTCAGAAAATAGAACAAGTGATGGAGTTTAAATATCTAGGCATCACATTATCTAGCTACGGAAAGCTCGAAACCGAAGTGGAAGGTCAAGTGAATAGAGCAAATAGAGTCGCAGGCTGCCTAAATAAAACAACATGGAGAAATAAAAATATCGGGAAAGGAACGAAAGGCAGAATTTACAAAACAGTCATCAGACCAATAATAACATACGCGGCAGAAAGAAGACCTGACACAGAGAGGACAAAAAGGATGTTAGAAACAGCAGAGATGAAAACACTTAGAAAAATTGATGGTAAGACACTATGGGACAGAGCTAGAAGTATAGATATACGACATATATGCAAGGTGAAGAACATCAAAAACTGGGTAAGAAATAGAAGAGTAGAATGGAAGGATCATATAAGCCAAATGACAACAAATAAAGTAGTAAAGACGGCAAGAGACGGTTCCCCAATAGGAAGACGATCAGTAGGAAGACCACGAAAACGATGGAATGACAACTTACTGGAGGCACATTGAAAAACAGACAGAGTCATGTCTATATAAAAAGAAGAAGAAGAAGACTTATTTCAATTGTGTTAACAGTTTATTGTATATTAAATCGAAGCTAAATGAACATATCAAAATAAATAATATGGTTTCTCTTATTTTGTCTTTTATATACGGGTCGCAGAAAAAATGCCGATGCTGCATCCCTTTAACTCTGCCGAAATAATTTTTAATTTTTAAGTTCATATTTATAAAGCATGATACATGGAACAAGTGGAACACGATCTGAAAACATTTAAGATTACCAACTGGAAAAACAAAGCAAGGAACAGAACAGAATGGCGGAAAATCCTAGAACAAGCCAAGACCCAGAAAGGATTGCCGAGCTACTGATGATGATGATCATATCAGTTTTATTTTATCATGATAGTATCAGTTTTTAGAAAAAAAAACATTAACTATTGCGGTATCTGCCACGAATTTACGTTTCTAATATTATATTATTTATCTATGAATTTACGTTTCAATGTGTGCAAACAGTAGACAATAAATAGACACATTTAACACTTACACTCTTATGTCTTAAAATATGCTATAAAACTTGAGTATTTTAATTTTTCAATAAATCATGATTCTATGAACCTAGATAACGTAGTTTTATATTGAAAAATACATGGAAATTTTAATTTTTGGATTGATTTATTGATAAAATTAGGATGCGGTCCAATGCAGCCCTTTATTTTGGCAGCGCAGGAACTGCACTCTTACTAGGATCGGCCCTATTTATATGATGGGTAAGACATGTCCAAAGAATTACTTAATATAGAATGCCAAAAATCTTGTTAAGCGCTACAATAGGTGGTAAAACGAATAGGTGATAAAAAGGAAGGCCTAGGACCAGATGTAGTCATCAAGTTAATGACGACCTGAGATACCTCAATGTAAGCAAATGGAAAGAAAAAGCGAAGAACAAACAGGAGTGGAGGAAGATTGTAAACCAAGAAATGAGCCTGCTTGGGTCGAGGAGCTAATATATTATTATTATTATTATGAAAGAAAAATATCATGACTATATGCTCTACAATAAGTTGTAGAGCAGGGAACCTGTGGGGGGGTTGTTCACATGCCTCCTGAGCTGAGACCCACTACACGTAAGCCCCTGGAAATGAGGGGCCTTGGTAGAGATCAGGTTAACCTGCGAGTACCACAGGACGACGTCAGTATTGGCTTCATCCTGAACAGATAAATTCAATGTATGATTTTCAGCTGCAGATCCAATTTGGCTCACAAAGCCCTTATCTATACCTAGAAAGACTACATCAGTCTTCTTTACCTTGGAGTCCCGGTGTTTCTTCCAGGACATTTGGACCGATGGCCACTATGTGGATTTCCGATAGTTCTCGAGGACAGTGACCTTGATCTCCATGGCCTCGACACAGAATAAATAATAATCAGAATGCCCATGCCCACTCTCAGATGCCGCCTTTAAAGTGTACTGTAGTGATGGGAAGATCTGGTTCGTTTCGGTGACCCAGGTCTTCCAGGTCATTCATTAAAATGACCCGTTCATAAAGATCCGTTCATATGAACGACTAATTAAATTTGTTGTGTAAAAGTCAAGTGTGAAGAGTTTAATATTGATATGTTCCGTTCATAGAGATTCCTTCATTAGAACGACTTTAATTATATGGTTTATGTGTAGAATTCGATACTGTTAATATAAGAATGAAATATAGTTTAAGGTTAACATTAAGATTTGTATTTCTCAAATCATCTTCAGGAATCATTAAAATATAAAAAAAAAATGCTTGAGAAAGTTAAGTAAAATTACAAATTCCATATTGTTATGTTCATAGATCAATGATAATGCAACAATTAATATGGATTTTATTTCCTACAAATTTATAAACAGAACAGACTACGGAACTATTGACTCGACAATTCGAATATATATAATTTTACAGTTTTGCAGCGTAAGGGTTTCGCCGTTCTGGGAAACTGAAATCAATGTTTGAATGATCCTTTGCGGTTCGCGGTTCATGCATTAATTTGACCGAGCAACGTGTCGCGATCACACAGTTCTTTCGTAAACACTAGACGGCTTCACAGAATAATAAATTAATATTCTGTGACGGCGTCATTCATAGGCATGATTCACAGGGTCATCCGAACGGTAGGGTCACAGAATGTGATTGATCCGATTGATCATTCACGGGTCTTCGAAAAGATCAGATCTTTGTGAACGGTTCATTCATGACCTTCTCATCACTAAAGTGTAGTGAAGTGTAGTGACAGAACCATAATTTAAATTTTTAGAGAATAATAATTTAGTAAATTTGAAATAATTGAATCTATTCTTCAACTAAAAGTACGAATAAAATATTGCATACTATGTCTATGGTTGGCGTAAATCAATTAAACCGTGTTAATTTTTCTATGCACACCAGATAAAATTTCACTGAACAGCACTGGTTCCGTTTAAAACATGGCTGAATCTCTCTTTCCTTGTTTAGTTTAATGCTGATTCATCGAGTTAGATTCTAACTCGATGGGCTGATTCGATCTCGCCAACTTATCTTGACATACAAAGTGGGTATTCTGTTTTTTTATTATTCTGTGGCTTTGATATGAAGATAGAACCTCACCAAACCACCGAACATCACCGTTGTTCGGTGACCAAACCTTCAAAAACTTAGAATCAGTATCCATCATCACAACAAAAAGCAGGAGTCTCTTATCCTGGAGAAAATTTACTGTTGGGTAGAGATTAGCAATATTTAAATTTAAAATCATATAAAGCCTAAATATTCAACATTTGTACACAATGATGACGACACAAAATTCTAAGTAAAAACTGTCTGCCAAAAACTGTCTTAAAGTATCACAACTCTGAAGTTTGCTTTTATGACAGGTGACAATAAGACTGGCATTTGATTAGGTGTACGGTGAACAGTGGCATTAAATGTTTTCTTTAACATAAAGTTTTCTTGGGAAACTCCTAAAAAATATAAACATTTTTTTAACTTCATTAATATTAGAATATTTATTTTGTAGATAAGTAGTGTGTAATACTTAATATAATTTACCGCTATGGCTGAATATTTAGCCTCGATTTTCGGTACCGAAAAAGACAAGTAAGGTTATCTTCAGAAACCTTTAAGAATAATTGCTAATTTATATTTTTTCAGAGTAAATTGTTCATTTTATTTTAAAATAGGAGCTTGCAGACATGGTGACAGGTGCTCTCGAATCCATAACAAACCCACATTTTCTCAAACATGCCTTCTACAAAATCTATATGTAAATCCTCAAAACTCTGCTAAATCCGCAGACGGAAGTCATTGTAAGTATTTTCTATTATTATTCTTTTAAGTACATAATTTTAAAACTATTAACTCAAATTAAGATTATAAACATTAACAAAATATTAATGTTTTAGATAAAGAGAATAAAGTGAAATATATAGATATACAAACAGAATAATAAATGTAATATATGTAGATAAATATAAAAAATATAGACTGAAAATGTGACTCTTATGGTGGGTTGATACGATCTAAGAATGCTTGGATTCCAACTTGGACCAAGTGGACTTGAACAAGTGTACTTGTACCAAGTTGGTTGCCAGGGTTAAATGACTTAGATGTCAAATAACCATTGTAAAAATGGCGAAAGTGATTATGGAAGGTGTTCTAGTGGTTGCTGATATGTTGATACATGAGCTTGAAATAGAGAAAAAAAAATTAAAAACAAAAAATGCCAAACTTCTAGCATTCTTATTTTTATATTCCTTTATCTGTACATTCCATAATAAAATAAATAAAAATATACTAAAACAATCACTAAGAGGATCTCAACCTCGGAGATGTTGAATCGGGTTTATGTCCTAACGTATAAGTACATTTGACAAGTATGACAATATTAGTACATTTAGAATTATAAACAAAACATATCAGCTCTCAACATCAGAACATTGGTTAGTCAAAACGCAGAACAAACGCAAGAGATTAAAAGCCGTATAGAAATAGCAAGGGCAAAATTTGTAAAAATGAAACATCTATTGTGTAGTAGAGACCTAAGAATGGATCTAAGGATAAGGTTATTGCGCTGCTACATTTTTACAACTTTGCTCTACGGATCTGAGGCATGGACATTGAAACAACTGGAGATTAAGAAATTGGAAGCTTTTGAGCGTTGGTGTTATCGAAGGATGCTACGAATAGCATGGGTAGACAAAATTACCAATATTGAAGTCCTTGATAGGGTTAATAAGAGGGAAGAAATTGTACAGACAATTAAGAGGCGGAAACTTGAATATTTCGGTCATATATTAAGAGGTCCTCGTTATGGGCTACTACGTTTGATTATAGAGGGCAAAATAAAAGGTAAAAGAGATGTAGGAAGAAGACGAACCTCCTGGCTACGAAATCTAAGGGAATGGTTTAGTCTGAGCTCTAGCCAACTATTTAGAGCTGCTGTAAGTAAAATAAGAATTGCCATGTTGATATCCAACCTTCGTTAGAAGATGGAACCTTAAGAAGAAGAAGAAGATCAGCTCTCAACCTGCGGTTCATCAGTATAGCAATATTAAATTGAGACATTATTACAGAATAATAAAAGCTAAATATCTTAGAAACTTCTGCTGAATGCTTTCCAATCCATCAATGTAGATTGATGAAATGAGGACCAAACAACAGAGCATTATTCAAGACCTGAGCATACCAAAGAACAATACAATAATTTGAATACAAAAGGTTGGCTGTTACGATAAATAAAACCAAGATTACAAAATCCTGTTCCCTTAATTTTAAGAAAATGGCTTCTAAATGTCAATGCACAATCTAATAATACACCCAAGTCTCTAATCTCAGTAACTGAATCCAAGAGTACATCATTAAGAACATATCTATGAGCTATTAGATTATTTATACGACCAAATGAAATACAGGAACATTTAAGTAGTTGGATTTAAGCTTAAACCATTTTGTTTCAACCATAAACATATATTATTTACATCATCTTGTAAGAGATCTTTATTTGATTTACCATGTATACAACGAAATAACTTAAGATCATCAGCAAATAAGTGTTTAAAATGCATGGAACCACAATGAGATCCTTGTGGGCACCAGAACAACAATTATTTTGAAATATAATTGCTAATACGAACTTGCTGTGTACATCCCATCAGAAAACTTTTAATCCAATTAACAATGGGGTTACCAAAGCCAGATGCATTGCCAGGAGTTTGTGGACCAAAAGGTTATGATTAAAATGGTTAAAGGCCTTTGAGAAATCAGTGTAAATGCTCTTGACCTGGATTTTATTCTCAAATGCACCCAGCAAGTTTTGTTGGTAATTGGCAAGATTTTTTACTGTTGACTTCCTGTTAGAAAATCCATGTTAGAATCCATAATAGAACATGTTCAGAAAATATACTGACAAATCTAAGCAACCCTACAACAAAATAAGAACTTTATGTTGGAAGTTAAAGAAGACTAGAAATGTAAGGACTTTTTCGATTTATTTGTTTATTAACGGATATACCATTTACATTGGAACAAAATATAATATATAAAATTTTACGAAGTAAGCATAACATTGGAAAATAATTAGTAAAGTTTAACAAAAACTAATAATTAACTTGAATACAAACTAATATCACACAAATAGCAGTCTCTTTATCACATTTTTAAATTGTTCTAAGGACTGGAAAAATAAGTCCAGATCACTTTGGTACCTATTATATAGTCTCACCATATGAGTAAGAGTCTTGAAGTATTCATAATTAAATTGATGAAATGGTAGATGAAATAATGAAGTATGCCTAGGTCCATGAAGAGTGTTAAGACCTAATTGATTTAAAAGTTCAGGGCAATTTATCAAATTATTAGCAATTTTGTAAAGGAATATTAGGCAAAAATAATGTTTTTGCCGATTCATAGAAACTATTTTCAAGTGATCAGCTATCATGCTATAACTGTATGGGACAGAGAGGTCATGAAAAGCACTACAGTAATGATAGTGTTTACCAAATTTATACTGAACACGATCAAGCTTGTCTATAGATGTTTGATAGTAAGGTTCCCATACAACCATTGCATATTCTAGTCTGGAGCGAATGAGACTATTAAAAAGATATGTCGCTATGTTACCAATTCCAATGGTAACTTCAACATCATAATTTATAACCATATATAATGTAAAATAACTGTAAATTTATATCATTTAAAGGGTTTTTGAGTGTATTTGTAAAAGTACCTACTTTGAAGAAAAGATTATTGAAGAAAATTTATAGTCGACAATTAAAAGAATGAGCATATGAAGAATTCATTTTTGTAGTAAAGTTCAAACTTCCATGAAATGCCCCAGAATTATTTTACTATTACTATAAATCTCTGAACCAATTAGAATGAATATCAAATATCAACAATTAAGCATAATTTAAGTTTAAGTATTACTACTACCAATTAAAAGATTTTAAAGTATTATACATCAACCATTTTTCTTTCTTTCACTAAATTCGAATCTAGGAATACTCAGTCTTGAAGCATCCAATTTAGGGTAATTACTCTTAAAATGTACTAATGTACCTTGAGAGAAAAAATGTTTTCTTTTAATTTAACCCATATTTTTTTTTAATAATGAGATCACTCTTCATGCAATAAAAAAGTGACTTAAGTATACCAACGGTATTTTGATAGCGTATGTTTTAAAGAAATTCCATCATTTGGCAACTATGTGCATAGTTATATTTAGAAATCGTATTAAGGCAATCATTTCCCACTCGATGTAAGACTGGCGCAATGTTTCTATACTATGCAACACAATACTGAAACACTGTGTCATGCCACTTTATTTTGCTGATACAGGCAGCTGTGTCAGTGTATCAACACTCAAATATTTACAGTGTTACCCATGACTATCATGGACCGTTGATGACTGGTCCATAGTCATATTTAGTGACGAATTTGTGATCAGTGATCGTTTAAGACTCCATTTTATTGGTTTGTTCATTAGCTGATAGTATGATCTTCTTCTTCGCTGCCATATCAGAACTATCCGATGTTGGCGATCACCATTGCGAAGGCTTCTCGATCTTCTGCAATATGGAATAATTGTCCTGCATTTGGTATCTGAGTCCATTCACGAATGTTTTTTAACCAAGAAACTTGTTTTCTTCCTACACCTCTACGACCCTCTATTTTGCAATTAAGGATCAGTTGTAAAATTTTATATCGACTTCCCCTTACTATATATCCCAGGTAAGACATTTTTCAATGTTATAACAGTCTGTAGCAGTTCTCTGTCTTTGTTGACGCTGCTTAGTACTTCTTCATTGCTTTTTCTTGCTGTCCAAGGTATCTTCAGCATTCGTTTATGAACCCACATTTCCAATGCTTCAATTTTGTTCATGATCGATACTTTTAGCGTCCACACTTCTGCACTATACAAAAGTACAGACCAAACATAACACTTAACCATTCTTTGCCTTGGTTCTAAACTGAGATGGTTGTTGCAAAGAAATGACTTCATTTTCATAAAAGTAGTTTTAGTCATTGCTATTCTATGTTTTATTTCTATGTCTGGATCTAGTTGGTCCGTTATCACAGTTCCCAAATATGTCATTTTGTGAACTTTCTCAACTTGGACTCCATTCAATTGAAGCTTTGCATCGGGATGTGGGTCACGACTAAACACTAACAATTTGGTTTTGTTTGAGTTTATTTAAATGCCATTTCCTCTCCTACCTCGTGAACACGATCAAGCAGAATTTGAAGACCTTCAATATTATCTGATAGAATTACTGATCGTCTGCATATCTAATCACATTACGTAGTTCCCCGTTGATTTTTATTCCATATGGTTGTCTCTCAAGTGCCTTTGTAAATAGCTGGTCCAAGTAAACATTGAACAATGTTGGCGACAAAATGCAACCTTGTCTGACTCCTCGTTGTATGGGGATTTCATCGGTGTAGCTATCTCCAATTTTTACGATATCAGTTTGATCCCAGTACAAATTTTTAATGACACGAATATCCTTGTCATCTTTTCCGATATTTTTTAGTATTTGCATTAATTTTACATGCTGTACTCTATCGAATGCCTTTTCGAAGTCCACGAAACAGGCAAATACATATTTTCTTTGGTTACGGCATTTTTGTCATAGGATGTTTAGCGCAAAAAGTGCCTCCCTGGTTCCCATAGTCTTCCTAAAACCAAATTGGGTATCTTCAAGATCTTCTTCGCATTTGCGTCTAATTCTGTTGTGAATTAGTCTGAGGAAAATTTTAAGAGTGTGGCTCATTAGGCTAATTAATCGATATTCTGAGCATATTCTCGCATTGTGTTTTTTAGGTATTGCGATAAAGATGGATTTGAGTCAATCTGCGGGAATCAGTCCGGTGTTATATATTGAATTAAAAAGTCTTACTACTACTTTTATGTTATCGTTCTCTATTAGTTTCAGCAACTAAGTTGGTGTATCATCTGGACCAGAAGCTTTTCTAATTTTGGCATTATTTATAGCATGTTCTACTTCGCATTTCATAATTTCTGGGCTGTCACTACAGTTTTGGTAGAATTCAACAATATTATTCCTGTCATCTTCAAACAACTCTGATATATACAGCTGCCATTCTTTTCTTATTTCTTGCTCATTTACATTAATTTTGTTATTAGTGTCAACAAGTACAGAGAGAACTCGTTTTTTAAGTATATTACTCATTTCTTTCAATTTTTTGTGCACATTAAATAAGTCGTGTTTAGATATTACATCCTCCATTTCGTCGCACCTTTCTCTCATCCATCGATAGTATGATATGATGTTTAAATAAATTTAAAATTTAATTTTTATAAAGATTTTTGTTATAATATATTCATAAACTATTCTTTTTTAGTACTTTATTTTATTTTGCTATTATGTTCATTTTTTAATCAATCTGAACCCACTTATTCAGTAGATGTATAATAACTTCTTAATTTTTCATCTATATAATTTTGTGTATTTGAACGTCTTATTGTTCAATAACTGTTGTTGTTTCTTAATGCTCAGCTCCTTCTTCGTTTTTGTTAAGTTTTGTGGCCGAATTATAATATGTAACAGTAATTTATATCATCTTGTATAAAAAAACACTATATTTATTTTTAGTGGTTGCTAATGTATCTGACGAGGAAATGCAAGAGCATTATGACAACTTTTTTGAAGATGTCTTTGTAGAGTGTGAAGATAAATATGGTGAAATTGAAGAAATGAATGTTTGCGATAACTTAGGAGATCACCTAGTAGGAAATGTGTATATCAAGGTAAGTTTAAGTACAGTAGTGCTTCGTATCTGTGTTTTCGGTATCTGCTGTTTCAATATTATCTGCAATATGTGACAGTGAGACTAGAAAATAGTAATATACAGTAGACTCTCGATTATCCGAGTCTTGGTTATCCGAGCCCCTCGGTTAACCGAGGCAAAATTTTTCCTGGGTTGTACTTTTATAGCCGTACCTGTTGAATCACAATATCGAGTAATAAAAAAAGGGTCGATGGTCACAAGTTATATCGGCAGCTGTTATATGGGCAATCCATTAAAAATTGTGGATTCTTGATAAGAGGAGAATTGTCTGTAAGGTAGGCTTTAGGTCAAGCTGATGTCGAGTTGGTATTCTCAGCAATTGGTCACCGCCTTATTTCCAGAAATTTCTGTGTCGTGTTTTGTCTACAATTTCCTGTTACTTTCTATGTTAATCAGTGTGAATTGAACTATCGATTTGTTTGTTATCGTTCAGATCGTCAAATTATTTGTTTGCTTAGGTTCAAATCGTCAAATCAAGTTACTGTACGGTAAAATTTTTACTTTATGTACTGTTTTGTGTATTTATTCGAGTTTATCAGTTTCAGTTTCGTAATTAATTTTTCATAAGTTGATTTTTGTGAGTGTAAGAGAGCATCTTTCTGTGCAATATGGGTGGAAAGCGGAAGAGAGTAGTTGAGAGTAGTGAAGAGGTTGGATAAGGGTGAAAAGAAGGTTGCTTCAGATTTAGGTGTTAGAGAAGTAACTGTTGGAGATTGGAAGCGTAAGCGGAATGAAATCGAACAGTGGGTCAACCGAAGTGTGAGTGGTGGTAGTGGATTGGCCCGGAAGACTGAAGAAAGGGGACTATGAACAAGCTTCTGAGGCATTGTTCTTGTGGTTTTCACAAATGAGAGGATTGGGCAGTCCGATAAGTGGTCCAATATTCCAAGCAAAAGCTATTGAATTCCAGAAGAAGTTTATGGATGGAGGAGAAAACTTTTGTGCTAGTGAAGTATGGATTGACTTATGAAAAAAGAAATATGGCATCCGATAATTGCATATTTGTGGCGAAAAAACTTTCTGTTGACTCAACTGAAATCGGAACATTTTATTTAAAATTACAAGATATTGTCCTTAAAGATGGACTAACTTCAGACCAAATATTCAACTGTGATGAGACAGGCCTTAACTTTAAAATGCTTCCATCGAAAACACTAGCTGCTAAAAATGAAGGAACTGCACCAGGTTACAAAAATGCATAGGAAGAGTCACAATTATGATTTGCAACAATGCTTCTGGTTCATTAAAATTAAAACCTCTTTTAATCGGAAAATACAGAAAACCAAGAGCATTCAAAAATGTCTAAATACATTGCTTACCTACAATCTATAGCAACCAACGCAATGCATGGATGGACTGTAACAGTTTTAAGGACTGGTTTTTTTAATGATTTTGTACCAGTCATTGATGCCTACCTAATAAACAAAAATCTGCCCCAGAAAGCTTTGTTGTTGTTGGACAACGCACGATCCCACCCAGATGCGAGTGAATTAATTAGTGGTGACATACGAGCTGTGTTCCTTCCACCCAATGTGACGTCTCTCCTCCAATTCCTAGACCAAGGCGTTATAGAAGCACTGAAGAGTACTGCTAACTAAGCTGAATGAGGGGCTGACTGTAAATGAGACATTGAAGAAGATCACGGTTAAAGATGTTTGCTATTGGATTGCATCTGCTTGGGACAACGTAAAAGTGTCCACTATTCAGAAGTCGTGATAAAATTATTTAAGATAAACAACAAAACACAAGACGTTCAAAATGAAACTGATGACTTTGAAGTTGATTATATAGCCAATCAATTACCAGTAGAAAAACCAATCGGAAACCAAGACATCATCGATTGGATGAATCTAGATGAAGAAATGGAACTGACAGATGATGCAATTGCCAATCTAGTTCTAAACGTCACTCATGAAGAAGAAACAGATGAGATAACTCAAAAGATTTCTCATTCCGATGGATTGAAGTCCCTTGAAGCAGCTCTCGCATACATCGAGTAACAAGAAAAATTGACACCATTAGACGTCCTCCAACATCGCCGCCTCAAAAAGAGAAATGCAGTTAAAACAAAAATCAATCAAAGACTTTAAACAGTAACATTTATAAAGTAAATTATATTCGTCAATATTAATCATTATTTATGTAGGTACATATACTATAATAGAAGAAATCTTTGTAAAAGTGGTGTACATAGTGAAAGAGAAAAGACTAGTTTAAGAAACCTCAATAAAGAAATAAAACGAAGATGTAAGGCCGACAAAAAACAGTACTATCAAAGTATATGCAAAGAAATTGAGAGACATGGTGAGAATAATCAGCCGAGAGACCTATTTAGAAAAATACGCTACCTGACAAGAGACTTCAGAGCCAGAACTTGGGCCATTGAAGATAACACTGGAACCCTGAGAACAAACAGAGAAGACATAGCAGAGACATGGAGATCGTATTGCAGGGACCTATATAAAGATGATCAACGCCAAGAGCTTGTTAGCCAAATCTCTGACGAGGTGGAAGAAGAACCTGATATACTCGAAAATGAAGTAAGACAGGCTATCAACAAGCTCAAATATAACAAAGCACCAGGTCCAGATATGATAACAGCAGAAATGCTTAAAGCCACAGAAGAAACCGGCGTAAAGTTACTTCATCTACTCTGTAATCAAATATGGCATTCCAAACAATGGCCTGAAGACTGGACAAAATCTACAATAACGACCATACATAAAAAAGGCAGCTTCCATAAATGCGACAATTATAGAACTATCTCTCTTATATCCCATGCCAGCAAGATAATGCTACATATAATCAATGAGAGACTGAAAACATTCCTTCAAAGAGAAATTCCACAAGAGCAAACTGGATTTACCAAAGGTAGAGGCACTCGAGAACACCTGCTGAATATAAGACAGATAATCGAGAAATCTAGGGAATTCAACATCCCACTATACATCTGTTTTATAGATTACCGTAAGGCGTTCGACAGGGTCAAGTGGAGACACTTATGGCGAATACTAAAAGAAGTAGGCGTACTACAACATCTAATTACGCTTATAACCGAACTATATGAACACACTACTGGATCAGTTAAAGTACTTGACACACTTTCGAACGAATTTCATCCAGAACGGGGTGTCAGACAAGGATGTATACTATCTCCACAATTATTCAACATATATGGGGAGTATATTATGCGAAGAGCACTTGAAGGATGGGAAAAGGGCATCTCAATAAATGGTCATAAACTAAACAACCTACGTTTCGCAGATGACACAGCCCTTCTTGCAAATAGTCAAGCAGAGCTGATAGAACTTATACGACTGATCGAAAACGAAAGTCAAATATTTGGTCTGCAATTAAACATATCAAAGACAAAGATCATGATAGTGGATAGACTACACAACAATCATCCACACATAACCACAATTGACCGGTTCGAGATTGTGAGCTCATACTTATATCTGGGATCATTAATCACAAACACAGGGTCATTACAAGAAGAGATTAAACGTAGATCTGATCTAGCAAAAGTTGCCACAGCAAAAATGACCAAAATATGGAAGGACTGTCAAATTTCAAGAGCGATAAAGATGAGGTTGATTAACTGCTTAATATTCCCAATACTGACCTACGGATGTGAATCTTGGACTCTGAGACAATCGGAGAGAAGAAAGATAGACGCCACTGAAATGTTCTGTTGGAGACGAATGTTACGAATTCCTTGGACCGACCGTAGAACAAATAATTCAATTTTAAGAGAGCTAAAAGTTAGCCAACGACTCTCTAGTAAAGTCCATCTCCAACAATTAAAATATTTTGGGTATGTTATGAGAACAAACACAGAAAACATGGAAAGACTCATAATACAAGGAAAGGTAGAAGGCCGAAGATCACGAGGAAGATCCCCAACAAGATGGATAGATCAAATTACAGGAATATGCCAAAGACCTATGCATGAATTAAAAGAAATGACCAGAGACAGAGATCTCTAGAGACGGACAATACACGACATCACGTCGACCACTACACTCCCCCTTGGGGGTCAGGATTGAAGAGAGAGATGTAGGTACACATTTTTCTATCATTATAACCAATCTCAGTGTTAACCGAGTTTTTTCGGTATCCGAGGTAGTCACGGTCCCAATTACCTCGGATAATCAAGAGTCTACTGTATTAGTTTTTCGGTATTATCCGTGATTTACTCTTAGATATGGGAGCAGTACTTTATTGTTGTAAAATGTCAATTTAATATCTAGTGTTCACCATTTAAGAATGATTTATAGATTAAAAATAGTTGTATGACATATTTGACATTATGACAATCCTTTGTTTCCTAGTTTCGCAGGGAAGAAGATGCTGAAAAAGCTGTAAATGATTTGAACAATCGTTGGTTTGGTGGAAGACCTGTATATGCTGAGTTGAGCCCTGTAACTGATTTTAGAGAAGCCTGTTGTCGTCAGTATGAGATGGGGGAATGCACAAGATCCGGTTTCTGCAATTTCATGCACTTGAAACCAATCTCTCGAGAGTTGAGAAGGTAATTTTGAAAACATTACTTGTTTGAAACTATAACAATTAAATTTTAGATTTTTTGCTCTTTAGCTTAGCTATTTAAAAAAATAATCAATCAATTACCCTTCCAAGTTTTCCAAATCTTTTTCCATATTAAACAATAAGAAGAAAGTAAGAGTCCAAGGACTGAGAATTTGAAAAACAAAAACAGATCTGTGGTTTTATAGCTGGTATCATCTACTACTAGGATATTAATGAGCGAGTAATATTGTCAAAAAAATTTTTAAATATATTTATAATTATAATTTACATTATAATAATTAGTAAACTAATATGGATTTAAAAATGGGGAAATACTGGCGCCGACTAGCGATATAATAATTAATCTGTGACAGTCATTAATGTATTCCTTTTACGTAATGTGTGAGGTCAGAGTGGTAGGCGCTTACAACTGTGGTGTTGAGATACAAAATTATCCCAGGCCCAAGTATTCCAACCTCTACTATTTATATTTTAAATATATAAATATTTTATATACAAACTTTTCCCTAAAATCAATAGTTTTTTTTGTATTAAATGACAAAATGTTGGAAACAACATCTTTTCCGAGGAACTCTCCAAGAGTTTACCGCAAACGTCTGGAGCTAAACCTGTTTAAGTGTGCTTGTACCGTTTTGCCGCTACAGTTTTCTACATTCTTATTTCTAAGTAATTTTCACTAGCCAATAGATAGCACCACAGGCATTACATTCATTTAGATCCTTATGTCACTATATAAGTAATTTGGTATTTTAACCACTGAAATCTGCTCATAATTAAATTTATTGCAGATATGTACTGAAACCTTTTCCTTCTAACCCCTTCAATTATCTTCTTAATATCTACATTTTTTGAGCCTCAGTTTTTGATCTATAATATTTTTAGTATAGATATTATGTATTTATAATTATGAAGAGTAAAATTTGACATCTGAGAAGTCCTAAAAAACCAAAATGTTTTCTAAATGAAATTTCATTGATAATTTATTTTATTGACATAATTTAATTCATTATTGTCAACAGACCTTCTCCATTTTATTTATAAGTCTAGAGAAGTACAGTTTGTCAAATAGAGCACCAATTCTGAGATTGTGCCACTCTGCATAGAAGAGGAAAGTATTCAATAGAACGCAGATGCGTTATAGTAACGACCTGTTGGCTGTTTCTGGTTAGTTGTAGTGTACATTCTAGCCCAAAAAATTAAGTTGAAAAATGTATTAACATGGAATATTTTTAAGTTGCATGAATAAAAATAAAGAAGTTGTCCATAACATGTTTTTACAGTGCCTGCAGCCAAGCTCAAGATTTAGTTAATAATAATAGTTTTATTTGATTAACAAAATCTCATATAATTATATTATTAAAGTAATAAAAAGTCAGTAACACTGTGTAAGATACCTTATGGGATTCTATTCCAGACAAGATGCTTTCAGAATCTAAGATACTATCCCAGTGAAATAAGCATTTTTTCATGACACTCGTCCGGCCAGGCAAACGACAGTTGTTTTGAGTAGTATGGACCTCTGTAGCAAAAACCTATATGTTTCCTGCAGTCGATTTTTTGGACTTAATTAGTTATTAACAAATTAAGGTCAAAAAACGGAAAATGTTTGCTTTTTTTCGTCTATCAGCAAAAAGTGAAGCAATTTAAAACAAATTTTAGAAGAGAGGAAAGTTGCAAAATAAGTCAAAAATTTCGGTTTTTATAAATTTTAATAACTTTTCTAAAAATAAACTTATAACATTTATATTTCATGGAATGTTGTGTCTTGCAGTGCTTAAAATATGGTCAAAATTTCAAAGTGATCGGTCAACTAGTTTAAAAGTTATTTTATTTGTTTATCCCAAATTATCATTTTTCAAACTTACCTTAAATATTAATAAAAAAATAAAAAAAATTGTTTTTAAACAAATTAGCTGGTTTATTTGACAATTTATTTATTGAAATAATGCATATTTGTAACTTACGCAAAAAGTACATACAAGTTCAAAAAGAAACGTTGAAATACATAAAAAAAGGAACAGAGATACAGTTAACAGCGCCTTCCCCCCCTTCAGCTCCCGAGAGTTTCAAAGCCGACCGATTTTACACACATTTTGAAGCTTTGTGGACGATTCCACTAAAGGGCAATATTTTTAAAATTCAGTACTTTAAAACTATAAAGTATATTCTTTTATATAGCGCTAATTAGATTTCTTAAGTGTTACAATCAAAGTTGCTATGAATTAAATAAAAAAAAGAGGCTATCTTTGTATCAAATTATTTTAGGACAATTTTTTTTCATTTAAAGTTGTGAAAAAATTCAAGCTTTTTAAATATAAAAAAATAATATTCTTACAGTAAATGGTTAAAAAGTTATTCTAATTGTTTATAAGCAAAATATCGACATGTTTTTGCAAATTTTTTTTTGCAATATTTAAAATTAATTTTTTTTAATGTAAATAATAAAACAAGTCTTCTTCTTCCAGAAACTACCCTTACAATTACTAAAACTATATAATTTTCTGACTTATATTGTTGCAAAAAATGTTAATTTGGGATAAACAAATAAAATAACTTTTAAACTATTTGACACAACATTCCATGAAGTATAAATGTTATAAGTTTATTTTCAGAAAAGTTATTAACATTTATAAAAACCGAAATTTTTGACTTATTTTGCAACTTCCTAAGCAACAAATAAGGATAGAAACTTGATTTGAAGGTTTTTATATGACTTATAAATTTCCTCTCTTCTAAAATTTGTTTAAATTGCTTCACTTTTTGCTGATAGAGAAAAAAAGCAAAAATATTCCGTATTTGTTAATAACTAATTAAGTCCAAAAAATAGACTGCAGGAAACATATAGGTTTTTGTTACGGAGGTCCATACTAGTCAAAACAACTGTCGTTTTTCTGGCCGGACGAGTGTCAATAACAGGGTACTTTTTTTGCTTATTTCCCTGGCCTATACCTTTTTGTAAGAAACGCTATTGAAAACATTTAGTTTTTTCTAATTCACATTGTAATATTGTAATTGATGTCAAATTAGGAATAACCGTTACCTTCAACTCTATTTTATAATTAGTATAGTTCGTATCATTAAAACATTCATCTGTCTTCATAGTATTGGATCTGAATTTCAAATGTGCATTCTATATAAAAAAATTTTCACTGTCGGCATTCACTATTTATATATCTTTATCCGCTATTATCTATATTTAATATTCTATATATTCACTCTTGATATTGATTTACATAAAACTTCAATGGTGTTATTATTCCAATTGTTTGTATACTGTAAATCAATATATTTCGTTCATATTTATATGTTACACTTTTCTTTTAGAAACTTTTAAAAACAGAAGTTTCATATTTTGCAAAAAATATCTTCTGAACTATTTAATATTTGGTTTTTTCATGCCTGTTATTTTTAGTTTTTCTCCAGCGAAATCCCATTGCATGTGAAACTTTTCCTAAGCTTTTGTATGAGCCAGTGTAGTTATTCTTTGATATTCATTTTCAGTGTATGTGCCAAAGAGTTGGAATTTTCTTATCAACAGTATACTAATTACTTATGAATCAGCGCATCGAAAAAATCTTTATCGTGATCCTTTCCGGTTTTAAATATGATATTATATGAAATAAGCTATCAAACAATAAGTCGCCTGTCCGGAATGCTCCAACTATAGAGGAATCACTTTATTAAACAGTACTTATAAAATACTCATCACACTTCCATAATACTATTTGGACCGGCGGCGTTACAAAGAGCAAATCAACAGTAATGCGAAAAGTAGGCAATATTATCTATTTATAATCAACCGGCTAATAAGAATAACATAGAAGATGATCACGAAGTAAACATTGTTTATCTATTTGGAATTTTCTTTTTTAATTAAATACATATAGGTATACAGTTTGACCCTTAGACTAAGGTTAAAATCATTGTCATACCTCATCAGTTTTCGGTATCTATAATTTGAGTTAATGATCGAAAACCAAGACAGTAACTGATATGTTTATCTCGAATATCAACATTCCCAAAAAATGACTCACAAAATGACATTCACATTTATATAAATTGTGACATATTTTTTTTTTCAGATATTTGTATTCTAGAAGGAAGGGTGGTAGAAGTGGTGGAGGAATAGGAGGAGGTAGATCAAGGTCTCGCTCTCCAAGACGTGCGCGTTCACGTTCCAGGGAAAGAAGAAGTTCCAGATCTCCAAAACATCGCTCTGGTCGCAGCGGCCGATACTGATTTTTAATCCATTATATAAGTATATGTATCTTATAACGTATTTTTTTTAATTTCCATTTCATAATAAACTGAAGTAGATTGGAATTTAGTATTAAGTAAAAATGAAATCATTCTTGGCTTTTTAGGTTAAATGTATTTTTGAGTGTGACTGAATATACATTTCTTTAATAAATCGTCTTAATAGTTTCGATATTTTAGTAAAATGTTTATTTCCTTCCACTACTGTTATATTCCGGTTTCCTATGGTTGATCCTCAACAATGGTTGAGAATCAGTCTGTTTGGAGGCAAGGCAGATAGTTAGTCAGGCCTGAACCCACCTACAAAATTAATACCCGAAAACTCGTCTGTGACTAAACAAAACACGGAATAATGAAAGAATTTAACGCTGAAGTGCATCCTTAAAAATCAGACATTTTGGATAATTCTAACACGGTTAAAAAAAGTGTCTTAAGGCCGATCCTCGCGATTCTGGGCATAGGTAAATTCCAATGTAAAAGTTTATATAATATAACGCAAAAACTATGGCAGATATTGAGATGATTCTTTTTTTATATGGAAGGTCTAAAAAAATTCTAGTGCACTATTTGGTTGTAAATTAATAAATTGTTTAAACAATATTTTTTTTTCAAATATTTTTGGTTAAAATAAACGTAATTTTTTTTTTTTTTTTAATAGGGCACTACAGAATTTGACCCACTTTCCGAATCTGTTTTTATTTTTAACATAAAGTGTAACACAAAGCAGCTATTTGATATAAACTTTTAAAAAATTTCAAATTTCTGCTAAATGTAATTTTCTCTTCGTCAGCACAGGGTGTCCTTGTCGGTAGCTTCTGTCCTTCTCGCCAGGTAGGTAAAACCCTCGGAGGAGGATAAATAAAGTTGAATAACATTATTAGGGCTTATTCCGACTTTTGACAAACCAGTGTGTTTATTGTATTTAAAATAGGAAATTTTATATAAATAAGCAGTAAGTACCTATGATTTTATTAAATTTTTATACGAATAGAAATATTTTCTGTTGATTTTCCATTTTCCTTCTAAATATTTATACTGTTTTTATAATAATACTATTGTTTCAGTATTTGCTTATATAATAATAATTTATTATATAGAAACAGCGTAGAGTTTTGGTCAATCATCCAGTACATTTTTTTGTATTTCAATCAGAATTATTATTTTCTTTTCTTCTTTACATGAGCTCAGAGTAATAACCAAATATTTTGCAGTATTTTAATATGAAATTTAATTATTTGTATTTATTGGTTAGCAACCTACCAATCGTAAAATCAAATACTGCTCAAAGAAACAATCTACAGTCTCGGAACCGGATTGATACTATGAAGACGACTACGGCAAGAAATAAGGACAACCGAAAAACATCCAAAACCCAGATGAGAATTACTTGGAATATCAGATCACTCAACTCAAGGGACCAAGAAATAACCCAAGTGTTGAAAGAGAAAGAAATAGACATTTGTGCTCTACAGCAAACAAAAAATAAAGGAAAAGGTCAATCAAAATTAGGTGAATACATACTAATCTACAGTGGAGTAGCAAAAGAAAACAGGGCCAAAGAAGGTGTAGCCTTACTAATACACCAAAGGTATCAAAATTACATCAAAGAGTGTCAATACATATCAGAAAGAATAGTAACATCAAAGATAAGAATGGAGATGAAAAACCTGAACATTATCGGACTATACGACCCAGAAAATAATAAGCCTCAAACAACAAGGAAGTGTTTTACGACCAATTACAACAAGTAGTAGATCAAGTCAAAGAAAAGATGATAATTCACAGCTAATTTGATTATAATAATTAAGGAACCTCATTTTTTGCCATGTTAAGGAATGGGATTTTGTATTTTTTGTTAAAAAATTGCACAAACATTGTACTTTTACAGGACCCTCTACGAATTTTCAAAAATGTAGTTCAAATGGTGACTAGGAAGAACCTACAAATCCATACCGAACAAGCAATTTCAAACTAATAAAATTTTCTATATCTCCGGATCTACTCAATGGATTTTGATCATTCTTTTTTTAATTTGTATGTAATTTCTACGTACATTAGGAATTAGTAATTTGTTTATATATTAATTAATAAATAGTCTATTTTGTTTAAACAATTCGTGCAAAACAATTTTCTTCCAAAAATCTATTTTTTTTTAATACTAGTATCAATAATCATAGAAACAGTCGCGTTTTTTGCATTAAATTGTCAATAATTAAAAAAACAGCTCCAAATTCAGGGCAAGAAACAAGTAGGTTTTCTTCCTAGAGGTCTACAATAACTAAAAAAGTTGTCAGCGACCTGGATTATTGAGTGTCACGAACATGGTTTATTTTTTGCTTATTTCCCTGGAGTATATATTTGATTAACATCTGTGTAATTTCTTTGTCGCTTCCTCGCTGGTTTTGCATATTGCTATGATAGCAATATCTTCGGTAAATGTTGCAATTGTATATTTTCTAGGACAATAATATAACACGTATACAAAAGGTAAAGACACTTCTTTGTGGCAGCCCTGCTTTAATATCTGTCAATTCCATGTATGTTTATTCCTGTTTAATTCTGAAATATCTTTCCAAATTGCAGGAGTCAATTATTTGAGAGTATCGTTTTGGGAAATGTAGTCTTAGTTTATAGTTATGGCGTCTTTTCCATACTTTATCATATACCTGAGTCACATCCTAAACTATTGATATAAGGTTGAATGCTCGAATAAATGAACTTTAAAAAATGAAGGCAAATTTCGAGCACAAATTTAATAATCAAATCTTGCCCAAGTACTTTCGCTTTTTACAGCATCATCAGGGGCATCTGCGCTTGCTGGATAGCCCAAATTTGACGAAGTAAGTCTAAAATGTTAATCACAAAAAACTTTTATCATCCATTAACTTCGAGTTTTTTATCGAAGTTTATTAATTTTCTTCATTTAAAAAACTTTTCTTGGCTTATTTCAGATGCCCCTGATGATTCTGTAGAAAGCGAAAGTACTTGGGCAAGATTTGATTATTAAATTTGTGCTCGATATTTGCCTTAATTTTTCAACGTACATCCTAAAATGTCCATCATATTATCCTTCATGATCCATATTTCACATCCATATAAATAGTTATACAGTATATTTCATCATCATCATCATCAATGGCGCTACAACTCTTCGTAAGTCTTTGCCGCGGTTACTATTGCCTTCCATGTTTGTCGGTCCTGTGCCAGTAATTCCCATTGTCGCACTCCCATTTTCTCTAGATCTAGGAGTATATTTACATATAACAAATTAAATCCTTAGTTGTAAATTTTTGAAATAAGTACTCAGTATACATCTAAGTTTCATACATGCTCCTCATAAATCTAAACTTTTGTACTCCGTTGTTTGTTGTCAATTAGTTGCATAGGGCCGACGTTTACTAACCACAAGCACACAAGTAAATTATCTTATTTCTTTCATTTGACAATAATAATTGTCTGTTAGATTAACATTGTAAGAAGTAAATTAGTCTCTTACTGAATGATAATAAACAACACATCAAACTTATTCTGAAACTATTTCTTGTGTCATGCTATATTTTATTAGATTTTGGTGTAATAAACCACAACCTATCTAATTCAATATCAAAAATCAAAATTGAAAAGGATAGCGTGACTAAATTATTCCTTCCTTCAAGAAATTTTAAAAAGAACTGATTTCTATTACTATCCAGTGCAAGGACAGTTATTTTGTTATTTATATCGAATAGAGAATACTGTTAGTTTGCGGTATGAACCCCAAAAAATATTTTATTCGAAAAGATTGATAAATATATGGAACTGTGGGAAAATTTATGCTACAAAAATTTCAAGATTTTTATTATAATTTTTATTTGAAACACCTTCTGAAGAAAATTAGACATAATTCTATATTTATCTAGTTTCATTTTATCAATTTTAATGATCGTGATACTAATTAGATAAGATTTTTATTATAATTTTTATTTGAAACACCTTCTGAAGAAACAGACATAATTCTATGTTTATATCGTTTCATTTTATCAATTTTAATGATCGTGATACTAATCAAATTTTTATGATATATAATAATAATCTTTTTTTTATAATTTTTATTTTCCGTTAATCTACGTTAAAATTCAGACAGCCAATTTTTCCGTAAAGAAATAAAAAATAAATTATGTATGTACATTTGTTACATTGTAAATTTATGAATAGATTATATTACTTTGATCTGTTATTATGTTTACTCATAACACCACTAAAGAGATTTATGGTTTTATTGTAAGCCAAAACCTGTCACTGCAGGGGTTGTCTCGGTGTATAATCGGCTCGAGTAAAAGATAAACGCATTTTTGACCTGGGCTTGAGAGAGATATCTAAACGAAGTTTAGAATATTACTTCATGAACAGATTTTGTTTTCGTAAAGAAAGAAATTTTTGAAATAGAGATAGCAAACTGAAATTTACCGTTAGGATTTTCGAGGATGAGCCTTAAAAAGGCAAAAAACTAAATTGTGAATCAGAATTAATAATTGTGATTATTTATAATAAAAACATTTTACGGGTTATATAGTATGGTAATTAAACAAAACATTAATTAGTTGAAACAAAAGTATTGATCTTCTTTTGGCCTAAGGTGCGACCCGTGTAAGGTGAGGATTATCAGCGCCGCATCGAAAACCGTAACAGTGTTGTGCTGCTCAATATAACAAAATTCACTTTAAAAATACTGGCAGCATCTGCATATGAGACAAAAATTTGTTGAGAGGTCTTATTCTTTGTCTTTCAGGAACTTGTTAATTCTTGGGCGATATTATCGTCTTAACCAATCCATTCTTGGAGATGGATTTCTTCAGTTCCCTCGTACCGAGAACTTTGACGAGCTGAAGGTTTTTAATTAGTGCTGCTTACGAAAGCTCAATTTCTCTAAATTGTAGACATACGTTTGTAAGAGCATTTTACGATAGTGCAATTTTATATTTCACAGTACTTACACTTTATCGACTACATAATTGGAGTTAGAATATGATAGAACTAGCAAGAGCAGCATTTATAAAGATCAAACAATTTCTCTGTTGTAGCAGCATCAGCGTAAGGCTCCGAATAAGAGCCGCTGAGATGCTATGTTTTTTCAACTCTCCTTTATGGATCAGAGGGTTGGACACTCGAGAAAATTGAAATGGATAAGCCTGC